GCCGTGTACTCCTGTGGTCCTGCTCCTTAGCTGTCACGGCCGTGTACTCCTGTGGTCCTGCTCCTTAGCTGTCACGGCCGTGTACTCCTGTGGTCCTGCTCCTTAACTGTCACGGCCGTGTACTCCTGCGGTCCTGCTCCTTAGCTGCCACGGCCGTGTACTCCTAAGTCCCGTGTACTCCTAAGTCCTGCTCCTTAGCTGTCACGGCCGTGTACTCCTGCGGTCCTGCTCCTTAGCTGTCACAGCTGCACTGATCCCTCCACTCAGACTTCCCGACCCAGTGGAAAGCACTGATTGTAACAGTCAGCTCAGTAAGAAGTTCACTTTTTAAAAATTCATGCTTAAACATGTCCCAAACTGTGCATTGCTCATTATTTTTTGTTGCTCTTTTAAAGTGAGGCATGGAGGTGTGGACCACACGAGGGTCACTGAGCCCATCAGTTTACATGCTGACGGGAGCAGTCAGGCGTGCAGATGTGCATGTGTACCTTAATATGGTGATGTTCCCCCAACATGAATGCCACCCACTTGGGGAGGGAGACAAGGACCAAGCGCCCCGTCGACCCTGTTCTTTAGTTTCACAGAGCATCTCCTCATCTTCAGTGTCTCCTGCTTCCTCGGAGCACTGGGTGTTAATCACGGTTACTGGTGTGTGATGGTTAAACCATGTCATGGAGGTTCAGTGCTGTTTGTGAACACTGTGATTTGGCCATGTGCATTCAGCTTGGCAATGCAAGCCACTGTGCCATCTATTAGATTGCTGTAAGCTGCCTAGCAGCAGGTTTGCCTGAAGCTGTGCACACATTGTGGGAGGCCTTCTGTGCCTCTGGCCTCTATAACTGGGACTCAGATGAAGGCTTTTATGAGAGCATTTGTACCTGGGGCTTCACTACACTTCACTGTTTCAGCCTTGATGAGGACACACTGAAGTCCAAGTGCTGAGATGGATTTTGGTCAGAAGTGTAACTCTAACTCTCTGTAGCCTGTCGGCGAGTCCAGGAGTATAACTCTCTAACTCTCTGTAGCCTGTCGGCGAGTCCAGGAGTATAACTCTGTAACTCTCTGTAGCCTGTCGGCGAGTCCAGGGATGCTGTTTCCGGTCACTGGACAATGCGTTTTACCACATACTGACGACACTGGTGTTTTACAGCCACCACAGCTGCATGAACATTGAGTAATGGTGTTTCAGCATCCATACTCCGTCCACCCAGCAAACCAGCCAGCCTGTCATATGGTCGTCACGGGTACTCACCACATCAGTGTGTCTCTGGCATTTCTCCACACTGGGCCATCAAGTGACTATACTTTTAATAAGCCATTTACAAAGATGATCTGCCTGAGCTTGAGAGCAGGCTGTCCTCTGTGGTGCATGCTGAAAGGCCTTAGAGAGTTAGTGCTCAGCATATCTGGATTCCCATGGGATGGTTATTCCCAGGCTTGATTTGGAGGTCAAGGCTGGTGGCCACAAAGGATTTACCAGTATTTCTTTGCCTGTATAAAGTCAGAAAAAAAGGTCTAATTTATATTTTAGCTTTCCTTTAGAAGTTGAGTTTTTAACAATTTTATGTACAGGTGTTTTGCCTGAAAGTATATTGTGCACTATGAGTATGCAGTGCCTGCAGAGGCCAGAAGAGGGCGCTACACCTTTGGAACTGGAGTTACAGATGGTTGAGAGCCACCATATAGGTGCTGGGAACTAAATCCAGGTCCTTGGCAAGAGCAGCCAGTGCTTTGAACTTCTGAGCCCCTGCTCCAGCCCCTAATATTTTTTTAAAGCATTTTTATTCTGGTAAGATAAAGCATCCTCCTGATTCAGTGCTTTTATTTTGATAAGATAAAGCATCCTCCTGATTCAGAAGTTCAAATGAGGGGAACTCCAGCTGAGAGATTCCTCCAAGATCCTCTCCACCCCTGCCCGTCTTTTGGTTTTAGAGCCAAGTTAGTGATGCCCATTTCTTGTGTATCCTGAGATGAACCATGAGCTTCCCAGCAAAGTGCCACCCTTCCTCTATAAAGTGTGGATGGAGCTGGACGTGATAGTGCACACCTTCAGTCCCAGCACTCTGGAGGCAGACAGGTGGACCTCTGAGTTCAGGGCCAGCCCAGCCAGTCGAGGCTCCACAGAGGAACCTTGTCTCAGGACAAGTGTAAAAAGTAGAACTCTGATACAGTTTCGCACCTTGTTTTTGCCTGCAGGGAAGTCTGTTGAGGTAGTTTTGTAAGACATATCATAGAGTTCCCTGGTATCGTTGTGTCAATTTTTGGAACTTTCTAGCATTGCAGCTGATGGGTGACCTCACCCATTCAGGTGTCCTCTCTTGAGTATATAGCCTGCATCAGCGCCAGGAGGTAGGTTACTCATTGAGGATCTGCTGGGTCAAAGCGATGTGCTTCTTCATGACATTGACAGCACTGCCTCTGTACTGAGGGTGTTGAGGGGACTGGCATGGCTCCCCAGAATCCCTTGGTGTCTGTCCTCTGTGGTTGGCAGGGAAGTGTGAAGCTGTGACTGACTTTGCCGTTCAGTTCATACTTCACATCAGTGTACCTGGAAGATGAACAGCCGGGCAACATGGCTTCACCAGCACCATGTGGCACTCCTGGGCCATGACCTAGCGGAAAGAATGGTGACACGCACTGCTGCGTGCTCCCTCTGCTTGTCGGATACTCTGAGGGTCCAGGATCTGTTGAATAGTTTTCTCCTTTGTCATTGGGGGATGGCCGCATGACGTTTGGGTTAGGTGAGTGGTGCCAAGCCTGT